TGTGGCGAATGAACGGCTCGTCATGAACCGAGGGTATCGTACTTTGTCCCGTCTCGTCATGCCAGCGATCATTCGAAAGAAACTTGATTTCTGTCGCTTGTATCCAGAATCACACTGTTTTTATCAAAGTTCAGGACTCATCACCGTATATGTGGGTAGCGGTTCAGACAGACTAGAAGACGGAAAGCTTCTCATGGCTAGTTAGCTCCTTTCTCATCTCTCGGACCGATTTAGCTCCAGTATTGCAGGCTTCGTCTGACTGATCTACGTAACTACTTCCACGTCCTACCTGCTGTCGCTTGTCAACGTTGGCATCAGACACTTAAACCCCCGTACCTTTTCCAATTGCATTCCTCTTAGCTGCAGATCGCATGGAGTGCTCTTTCCGCGCCTGTGCATTCCTCCTGTCGCCCGCCACGATGTCTTCGTAGAACAAAATATGTTTATGTCTAGATGAGGGTCTTGACCAAGGCGTGCAACGTGTACTCCTGTCCACAGGCAATGAACAACGAACAGGTGGAATTCAAACCGACATAAGTACACGTGTCTCATTTTAACGTATTACCGTATGCGTTTTGCTGAATTATTCAACTGGTGCTTACATGCATGTTTTAGTGCAATGTTCCCATCATACACCCAAGTTTGGCGAGCCCATGAAAGACATCATTGCAGTCAGGGGCAGCGACGTGACTTTTGCTTGCCAGGTCATAAACGCAGGAAGGCATCTGGTAAGTCTAATAGTCTCTTGTCGAAGACCTCGCTGAAAAGCCGGGTTTTTCAGGTCGCGTTTGTCAGGGCAGAGCCGACCGTATTGCTGACGTGGCAGCACCGTGTATTCGCCAGCAGACCACATAAATACAACCTGGAAGTAAGGGGCGACACGTGGCTTTTGGAAGTGCGAAACGTGCAGCCGTCGGACGAGGGTTTGTACATGTGTCAAGTCAACACAAACCCGATGATGGCTCAAATCGCGTACCTCAGTCTGAAAGGTTGGCTTCATTTAATATTTTGTATCTGCCGTTATAAGGGTAAAAGACTAACCTTAATTAAACCAACTTGAGCAGTTAAGGCATAGCGTGAGAACTCCTTGCTGCTTCTCGCCTGACTCAAGTGACGGGCTAAATACAGTACAAATACGCTGCGAAAAAAGTGCATGTTAGACCATAAGACGATATATTCTAATGATCACTTTATGACAAAATGATTGCCTAATAATTATAGTGCTAATTATCATCGTTATTAAATCTTATGTTTCTTAATTTAGTTATTGAACCGTTACAACTATTATTTCTACGTCGTGGTCATTTACACAAGCCGATTGACAAGTAGAACCCTTTGGGTTTACGATGTCCTTTCCATTGGCGGCTGTTCAGCACTTTTGCTTTTCATCTTCGTTCATGTGGTTTAGCGACGTATGAGTGTTCCCATACAACCTCCAGTAGCATCACTAATTCTACCTTTTCCGTTAGTTCAGATCATCACAATGAGTCGTTGTCATAATCAAAACGTCCCTAGTTTGTGATATAGGCTACATTCGCAGATTTTTTAAAAATTTTGCTCTAAGACACCGGCTATCGCAGCGTAGAAGGAAGTGTCTATCAAAAACATATCTGACTCCATCTTGTTCCCTCTTGTTTCATGCTGGCCTCCTGATCAACGCGTGCAATGATTTAGCTGCCGCACGAGAAGCTCATCGGCTGGCGAGTTCGCCCAACAGGGCTGTTTTTACTTAATCTTCGAAATCTTAATCTATCAAAGACACCTGACCCAGAAGAGAGCAGTCATCGATAGTTTCTTCTGCCTTTTAACCCTGATTTTGCGTCGAAATGAACGCTGCTGTATTAAGTTCAGTCGTTGTTCTACTTATGTCCTTATAACAACTGTCTCCTTACCGTACAACAACACTGGCAGACTGGCAGAAGCGAGTTATTGTGAAGTTGCTCCTTTCGCAGACCAAACGTTGAACATGCTTTCGAAAGCACTTGAGGACAAGATAGTCCTCCAATTTAACTCTGGCTAAACAGCGAAATCACTGGAAACGATAGAAACGTAATAATTAAATTGGCCAACCTCGTTGTTCCACTTGTAGATCAGCTGTGCCGAATGGGTACTTCATAACTTTTGTCTTTCAGGTTTTAAGGAAGAGGCCGATTTTCACAGATGTGTAGCACCCCTAGCACCAACTAGGATAGCCAGTTGAGTCATGTTTATTCCACAGTGGTGACACAGATGTGACGTGTTCCACTCTTTGTACCTCACTAAATTCACAGTGTGGCGATTCTTTCGTTATCAACTTATCGAGAAGTTAATCGCACATCCGTATCTCTCATCTCTCGTATGAAACATGGTTGAGTGCGGCATTTTGCCGTGAGGGCAATCAGAAGCCTGGAATCTTCTTGGCTCGATCTTCAGCCATGGCGGTTGCTTGGAATAACATTCTGGTCCACGATTCGATCCAACAGCTATATCGTGCCGTTCCCATCGATGACCAGCGAAGAACCGTTGTCCAGAAAAATTCAATGGATTTCAATGCTAAGTGGCTGATTTCCTAATGAATTGGCG